GTGAGAGCCGGTATCCTCCCAGCCTAGCCGCAGAATAAGTAACCAAGCATAGGATTAGTCAATTTTCTTTATGCCTGGACCAAAGGGTAAAGAATATGTATGCTCCTATTTGACACAATATAAATTGAACTAATTCATTTTATCCATTCACTATAATTTCTTGACAAGGAGAAGTATGATTTCTTATATATTGAATATCACAATTAAACCCTACTTTATATCATTAGTTATTTATTAGTTATCCAAATTATTTACTTATTTCAATTGCCTATTAGTGACAGATAAACAAATTTAACGTCGTCGTTGTAGTTGAATTATTACTTTTTATTAAGCCTTAGTCCATAGTATTCTATTTCTCCCTGTGGGATCGATAACTAGGACTCCATTAGAGCCCTATATTACTTGAGTGATACGTATACTTGCGTTGACAAATTGGACTTTGACATTATTGAATATTATATCTATACATCTTTATTAAATCAAACACATATTTATAAAGTCGCAGTCAATATTTTGAAACCGTTATTAGAATTTAACTCTTCTAGTAGCACCATCAAATTCTTGTAATTGTCGATTTACAAAAAGAAAAAGGTCGGTCAGTCGATTGACCTTTGCTCTAGGAAACCGATCGGCTTTGAGAGAGGTTGTCGGTCTGCCTTAAGGTGGTTGGTAGGCATATTGATTCCTTTGTTATTTCTAGAGATTTTTGTGGATTTTTGGGGTAGTCGTTTGTTCGCTTGTATGTGTGAATGTCTATCTTGTTGGACTAGGTAATCCTTTAGTTATCAGAATGAAATTTAGTTAACCTTTAGCCCTTTGTTCGGTTGGCTACCGATTGACTGGTGGTTCTTTAGCTGGTCGGTCTTATGAGTACTCTTGTTTTTTAGTTAAAGGGATGATTCTCATTTTTCTTTTAATTTGGACCGCTAGATCGTCTCGAGATTTGTGTTGATCATTTTTTAGTGTACATTTTAAGTTCTAAATTTTCTTATTCTTTGGTAGCAACAGTGGCAATAAGAAAAAAAAATTTAATGTAATAAATCAAATTTTATTAGTAATAATTTAATGTTATGATAAGATTCCTTTAGATTTTTTTACTCATGACACTTATATTATGACACTTATATTTATGGCATAAGGTGTCGTTCTCATCATTTCGAGTCAGTCTCTCCTTGTATTCACTAACTTTTTGTGATTTCCTTAATGAGAAGGGATTTTATTTGATGCAGAAACACTTTGATTGGGCTAAGTTGTCGGCTGTCCTTGGAGTAAAACATCGTCGGCCTGAAGGAGAGCTGAAGAAGAAGAAGTTGGATAAGAAGCCAAAATCCTTCGAGCGAGTGGAGGTAGAGGAGTCTTCTAAATCATTTCAAGAGACTATAAAGAAGGATCAAACCAAAACTGGGAGGGAGCTGGTGGCTAAGTGGTCGATCCACCAATAATGACTCCTATTGAAGTCCAGGGTTCAACCGGAGATTGTGAGTGTTTCCCCACAGACTGATGCACCAAGAGTCAATGGGAGTGATCTTCTGATCAACTAGAAGGGATCGGTCAAGAACTTCTCATCATTGGATGTGGGTAGAGCTTCCTGATCCGAGGTAAAGCAGATCCTGGGTACACAATTTCTATCATTTTTCTTTTAATTTAATAGTTTTCTTTTTTCCCTTCAATTTTTGTTTCTTACATTTTTTGTTTTGTTTTTCTTAGAAAAGGAGCTTACATCAGATACAGGAAGAGCTGCTACAATAGTATTAATACCATTATCTGGTGCAATATTTAGTGCAGTGACCTCAAGTGCTACACTAAGGGTCTCATGTGAATTCTTGGTTGGCTCTATAACCTGCACGACAAACGGTAAATATCTCAACCTTGTAGTGAACCAACGGGTATCCCCTGTTCTCCTACTTCAATGGATTTGAGGGTAATAAAAGTAGAGAAATTCTTGCATCGCTTGCTCAGATGTCTGAGAGATTCAGGCACGAAACTTCTCTTAAGAAGAGGACATTTTTCTCTTAAAGAGGAAACTGCTCTAATGATCTCTTGGTCTGTATTAGCATCATCATTTATTTTAGGCGTAAAGTGACCAGCATCTTGAGGGGAGAATGACATCTTAGTAATCCTGGCTAACACATGTTCCACGCAACGGAACAACATTGCAGAGCCATTCTCAGCCAAGGGAATCTAAGTCTTCTTTTAACTGGAACCAAAATAGGCAACGAAACCTTTTTTTTATCCTAATGTTGAGACCGCAACAGCTTGCTCTTAGTTCTCCGGGCTTTTTTGCCCAGTCTACTAATGTGTAGATAATCATGCTAATATTTCTTGATGATTTACACATTTTTATGGATGAGATTGCACTTTAATGAAAGGTGTTTTTATGTTTTTTGCAGTGCATGTAATAGAAGTGAGGAAACATGGAGGAGACTTGGAGCAGAAGGAGATTATTGAGGACTAGTGTCCAAGCGCCAAACTCCTGAGTGCTTAGGTGTCAGTCCCTCCCTCAGACAACCCGAAGTGGTTGGTGCCTACGCGCCGGATCAATGGGCGCCTAGGCACTAGCAACTTCCTTGAGCAGTTTTGGCAGTTCACAAAGCCTATTGTGAGGAGTTGTTAGGAGGGCGTGGAGTGGTTCTTATGCTGAGTAATAGAGTTTATAAATAGAATGTATCAGGGAATTAGTGGGATTGATGCCCATGGGGTAAGATTGGCGCAGGTAGGGCTTAGGATTGATGAGGGTTTTTCATTTGAGGTTTTAGTTTGCTATAGAGTTCATTCTTCTTCTCCTAGTGTACATGATAGTAAGAGTCTTCAATAACAACAACCCATAAGTCAGGAGGAGCTTTGGTTGAGCATCTTTAGGCCATTTTAAAGTAGAGAAAGATAAGTAGTATTTGTCTTTATTATTGTATTTCATTTGTAAACATTTAGGTAGCATATTTTTCTTATTTCAATGAATTTGTGTGGTGTTTTTCTCATGCTTCTTGAGTAGAGTTCTTAACCTTTCCTTGTGATGATTAAGTATGATACATAAAAAAGCAAAGTTCTTTTAAATCACTTTTAATTATCAAATGTGATGATTAACCTTCAGTTCTTCATTTATCTTTCATTCAGGCCAAGTGAAATGTTAAAATGTGTTGTGAACCATAATAACTCAGGAGAGCTATGGTAGAATCTACTAGATTAGTCATATTGAACTAAGGGGTATAGGTTGAAATGCCTTGTAGGGAGATGTAAATGTTAGATAAATATGCTTTGATGAGTTAGTTATTGGATTTAAGGAATTAAAGTCATTTTAAACAATCTTCTTTATGCACTCAAGGGAGGGTAAAGAAGAGTGTTGTTCCTATTTTTCACTGACTTATTTTATAATTTGCACTTTACATTTATTGTAATCCACTTACATCATTGTAAGGAAGTGTATCTTAAGAACTTGATATTCGTCAATCCAAACTACATTAAGTAGGGGTAGTTGTGTAGTATTTAACTTTTCAATTGCCTTAGAAACTTTAGGATTACTTTATAGGACTTTAACACAAACTAAATTCTAGGCTAGGCTTATTTTGGAATTACCACGTTCTCTGTGGGATCAACTTTTTTGACTCTAAAATCTGATATTATTAAGACGACACATGCACTTGCGTGAGCCTTTAGTGTGTGGTTACACCTGAAAGCGGTATCAAGTTTTTGGTGTCATTGTCGGGGAACGACGATAACTTAATTTAGGAAAATTTTAGTTGAACATTGAGGTCTTTGATTTGAAAAACCTGTAGTGTTAATTTTTAGTGCTTTATTATTTATATTTTTTAAAAAAAACCTAAGAAAAATAAAAAAAAAATGTTTTTATTTGACTATGTGTAAACTTTTAGGGATCTCTAGTTTGTGTATGCGTAGTGCGGAACCTACATGACTTTCAACATATGATTCTGAGTTAGAGAGAACTATTAGGAAAATTAGAAAATAAAAGGGATTTGAACAACTTGTAGGAGAGACTGAGAACAATCTACCTAATAACCCAGAAATTCAGGAACCAACCCATCAACATCTAAATGCACATAGACCCTTAATATATTATTCTAATCCTACAACAAATTATATTCACTTAAGCATTCAAACATCAAATTTAGAAGCTAACAAGTTTGAACTGAAACCTGCTATCATCCAAATGATGCAGAAAACTGACACACCTAAAATTGTGTTATTATTATTATTATTATTATTATTATTATTATTATATATATATATAATGTTTATTTTTAATGATATTGCACTTTAATGGATTGTATTTTATGTGTTTTCAGTTTCAAGTACAAGAGATGGAGTTTTGGAGAAGGAGAAGCGAAAATGGAGCAAAATTGGTTCAAATGGAGCAAAGGAGCACACAGTGAACTGATGCTTAGGCGCCAGCTTCTGGCGCCTAAGAGCCAGACCTTGTACGCGGAAACAAAAAGCTCGATGTCATGGCGCGAGACCGTTATTTCATGCTTCTAGAAGGCCAGCCCCTAGGTTCCACGGATGGGCGCCAAAGTGCCAAAATTTGTTTTTTTTTAAATACAATGTAATTGGATGAATTTTGAAGGGGCGTCTGAAGTGACTCTTGGGAATTTTGAGGTTTATATTAAAAAGAAAGATTTTCAAGTGTTGGACTCTCTTCATTTGTGTGTGTTGGTGTCTCTTGCTGTGTGTGTGTTTGGTGTAATCCTAAAGGAAGAATAGAGAGTGAGGCTTGGTGTCTCTTCGTGTGGGAAGTGTCTTTTAGAGTCTTGGTGACTCTTGAGACTTTGAAAAGAAGTGTATGGGATTGATATTTGGTGTGCAAGGAGGTTGTAAATTTTCTGTAAAGATAAGTCTTGTACTGTTATTGTATTTGTTTTGAATTATTGCAATATAGTTGTGTGATTTGAATGTCATTTGCAATGAAGAATCCATGTGTCTTCTTCATGCTTAGTGAGCAATTTTCCTTATTCTTTCCTCTAGTGATGAAGTAGTGGCATGTGTGTGAAAATTTATTTTATGATAGAATAATTTTAATTTCTATTTGATGAGTAATATCTTCGTTGGTTCATTGACATAGCTAACTGGTCGTAGGTTATGTTAAAATCTATTTTTAAGTTGAGACTAAGACTTGGAAGTGCGGTGACTGCACAAAGTGAGTGCACTCGCGTTGTCTAGTTGTCTATGGTGAAGTAGTTCAGGCGGCAATGCAACTTTTAAAGGAAATATACTTCATGATATGTTTCTATTAGGAGCTTCTAGGTGACAATTGTTGTAAGTGAATGGGTTCCGTACCAAGAGTTGTAAGGCTTTTAACCACCTTCGCATCTCTGCTGGTTGTGTAAACCTAATAGAATACTAAACGTATATATACACTTGGGAGAGGGTAGGTAGACATATGATCCTTGTTGACACAAAAATTATTACATAATTCTATCGATTCTTCTACTACTTTTGCCACTATATTCATTGCAAGAAGGATAGCATTTTGATTATACAAGAACTTTCCAAAATTTAACCAACCTCCATAGATTAGGTTTTTATTTAATTTAGTTAACTTTAATTTTATAGCAAAGTAGTGAATTTATAAAAATCAAACTTTTCAGAAATTTCAGGCTAAGATGAGTTATTGTAGAGTAGAACTTTTACTGAAGTCGTTACGAATTAATATATTTCCCTGTGGGATCGATACTCAAGGATTTTGAAAGAACACTCTATATTACTTGAACAATGTGCGCACTTGCATGAAACCCCTAGTCTGTAAACTATAAATTAAATTCTAAACTATATATCAAATCCATTTTGCACACTAGTTGTATAAAGAAATTAGGTCATATTTTTGGCTAGGAAACTAAATTACTACGTAACAGCGAGTTGGGACAAGTTTTTAGCGTCCTTGCCGGGAAGGAAAAGTTGATTTGACTTACGTAAAATTTTAGTCAAACTAATTAGACTTAGACTTGAAAAATTGTAGTGTTGTTTATTTGTTTAAGTGATTGTTTGTGTGTTAAAAATTTTTATTTAAAAATTATTAATATATATATATATATACATATATTACTTTTTTAATGCATAGTTCAAGAGCTGCAGACCTTAAACCCAACAAATCAGAACTAAAGAGAGCTATTAGGATGATTATGAATCAAAAAAGACCCCATGAATTTATTGTAGAAATGGTGAATCAACAAAATAATAAATATGCTAGTAGCTTCGATATAGTAAACCCCAAGAGGGTAGTGAATTTTCATGAAACTAGCCATGAGATACACAATCACTTAGATAACCCTTTTTCCCATTTTTCTCAAGTTACAGATATTGTGAGAAATTTAGATAAAGACTTAGAAATTTATCCTCAAGGACCCATAGTTATTGAGGAAAATTCTTTTGGACAATTGATTGATGTTAATGGTTTTGAAACTAGCCATGAGATACACAATCACTTAGATAACCCTTTTTCCCATTATTACAACCCAGGTTGGAAGAATCATTCCAACTATAGTTGGACTAATAATTTTAGAGGAAGAAACCAATTATAGGAATATAATCAACTTAATCGGATATGTAATTGGACTAATCAGGGCAATTTTAACATTGGGCTTTTTTTTTCTCATAGATTTAACTTCAATCCATAGAATGAGGAGAAGAAGTTATAAGGGGCTGCAATAAAGAATACGAAAAATCAACTAGGGCAGATTGTTAACTCAATTAACAATAATCCTCCAGAGATTTTACCTAATGACCATGATATAAACCCTAAGGAGAAGAATGGCGGGCAACATAAAACTATCCAACTAAGAAGTGGAAGAGAATTTGAGGATATGGTTAAAAAGAACCTTGAGTTAAGAAAAGAGGAAAAGGAGATTGAAAGACCAATGGAAGAAATTTCTAAGGAATTAGAAAAACCTATTTCATCAACCAAGAAAAATATAGAAATACTACGTCCACTATTTCCTCAGCCCTAAGGGGAAGAATTAGAAGATAACTTGAGACAGAAGAGTAACCTAGTAGAATTTAATCCATAATAGAGAGAATCCAATCCAAAATTTAGGAGATCTTGAACTATCATATAAAGATCTATTTCTTATAATTTTTAAGGATGATATTAATATGTAAATTGAGGAAATTAATAGAAAAATATTGGATCTAGAAAAAAACATGACGAATAATAATTTGAATTAATCTAAAAAGGAAAAGTTGAAAGAAAAACTAGAATTAAAGGATTTAGTAGGAATCCTAGGATCCGGAAAAGATTTGGTGGTTGATCATGGATTTCTTAAATAAAATTTTGATCCGGAAGGAATCCTTTGTTGGGCTAGCGACGTTAAATCAAGTCCTTCGTGGGAGGCACCCCATGATTATTTTTGTTGGTGTGATTATTTGTGAGTTATGACTATTATCAGGTTGATGACGTTAAACTAAGCTTTTTGTGAGAGGTAGCTCATAGTTATCAATATGGATTGATTTAAATAATTTATTGTTATGATGTGTTTAAAGATGTGTGTTATGTTAAAAGTGTTGTGAGATAATGAGAACTACATTATGAGAAGAAGCACAAAACAATGATTTTAAGGCTCGATGTTCTGCATCCATGATAGAAATGTTTAAGCAAAATCAATGGATTTGAGGAAGTAAGAACATTGAAATTCTTCAATATCCTCAATATCAAAATTTTACTCATCGCTAACCCATGGATGAGAATGACATAGAAGATGAAGAAGTTAAAGAAGATGATGATGATGAGAGTGAGCAGGTGTTTTAGCATATGTGTCAAACTCCGATGTGTAGGTGTCTTAGTGATTGTTTATTTGTGTTGGATTGAAATATGTGTGTTGTAAGTGTGATGAAGTGATCATGTAATAAAGTGTTGGATTGAAATATGTGTTGTAAGTGTGATGAAGTGATCATGTAATAAACTACGTTTGTATTATTACTTGTATTGTAAACAAAAGAAAAAAATAATTCTTACTTATAGTTTCTTCATTGCAATGAAAAATGATATAAGTATTATATAGCTAAAGAGGATAAAAAAAATTTAGAAATTTCACCTAATGATGCCATGCACATATGAAAATCTAAGATTCTAATGGTTTTGCTAAATGTGCAAACCACGAAAAATTTTTGAGTTTTTTTTTTGCAAAATGGGCTTCAGAAAATCTCAAACGAAAAATTTTTGAGTTTTTTTTTTTTTTTTGCAAAATGGGCTTCAGAAAATCTCAGGTGGAATAAAACAAATTTTATTATAATTTCCATCATTACTAAAAAAATATATGCCCTTTGGATTGAGTATAACATAATGTATGACATCTTAAATGGTAATTATTTCTTGATACCAATACTCAAAAAAAAGATTACAGCGGTTGGCTAGAGGTTTTAACTATACCCAAAAGTAAAATTACGCAAAATAAAAACCTATGAATCCTCCACCTAGAGTTACAATGCATGCTAAGCAAATAAATCAAAGAAAAAAAAAACAATCATATATACTCCTATAATATGGATATCTTTTAGATCGTCAAACAATTCAAAGGTATAACAAAGGTAAAAGGAGAAAAAAATCATCAACTATATCTTAAAACCGGTAACTCTAAATTGTCTTCAATTTATTTACCAAGCGGGTGCAATAGGAGTGATACCAATACTTGGACTATCTAAATATGCCCCAGTTTTGCCGAAAAGTAAGCCGCTCTATTAACCTCCTTGTAGCAATTATACCACTGAAGGTTGAAACATGGTAATAACTGTTTAATTTTGCTCCATACTATATGATACTCCCAAGGTAAAATTTCTTTGCCAATACATATTTGAAATTTTAATAAAGAATCAGTTTAAATTTGCAAAAGTCTAACCCTCAAATGCTTTGCACTAAATATACAACAAAACAACAAACAATTCAAAATACATAATAGTAATAGATGGGCAAGGTGCCGAAAAAAACCAAACACAACTACCTTTGCAATCCCTTACAATTCCGCCAACTCCATCCATCCCTCTTTTAAAACATTGATCTAGATTAGCTTTATAATAAGGATAAGTCAGTTTGACCCATTTAAGCAGTCTCAACGAAAATTTACCAGCTTTCCTTTCCCCAACCAGATTAACCCCACACAGACTCTACATACCTTTAATGCATTTAACATCTTGATTGCTAAGCCTTAATTAATTTGCATATATAATATTTGATGTTCTCTAACACTCGGTCATTCGAGTGTTCTATCACATGAAGCTTCCTACTATTTCGTTCCATCCAAACAAACCAAAAGCAAATATAAGGTATCGTATTAAGAACACTGGTCTTTCCTTCCTAGTTATGCAAGCATTGGTTCAATGAGTGATACACAATATTGGGTATAAAAATATTAAAATGACATCCCAAGCTTCTTCAAATATAACTCGAGAATTTACAATATAAAAAAAAATATGAGAGATCACCTCCTATTGTCTACATATTTAACATATAGAGAGGATCCAAAGCCCTCTGGGTTTAAATAAATCATTAGTAAGGAGAAGATTATGATGGATCCTCCATGCAAGAAAGATTGACTAGGTTTAAAAATACTATTTCAGGTATGATCTCCTCTCCTATTACTATTATTAACATAATGCCTCCTTGCAATAGCTTTACTCATACACCTTGGCATTGCCTTGAACTATAATCACATCAATTTTAGTTTTATCAATAGGAACATTAGAAACATACTTGACTACATCAGAATTTAGCATGTCTCGTAGCTTGTTTAAATCGCAACATTCACTATATCAACTATACACAACTTTAAAATTTTTATCCTGAATCCCAAGAGAATTATGCCAGAGAGGTTCATGCA